GGGGGGGGGAGGTGTATCCTCCTTCTTGTCTCCCCCCCCCAAAGTCTTCCTTTATACCTTTCCTAATTGCCCTCTCAAGGGGGGGGTCCCCCATTTCCTGAGGAGGATTTCCCCCAACTAGAGACCCTCAAATGAAGCAGCCCCTTCTAGTGACATACTCCACTTCCATAGGGGGGGGGGGTTCCCTCCTTTTTGTGTCCCCCCCTCCACAAAAAAGTCTTGCTTTATACCTACATTAACTGCCCTCTCAAAGGGGGGGGTGTCCCCCCATTTCCTGAACCCCCTCTTTATCTTTCTCCCCAGAGATCCAAATGGGGGAGGGCCCCCCCAAACCCCCCAAGGGCTCCAGGTAAGGATACAGCTTGACCACGTCGGTGTCCATCCGCCTCTTGCCAGGGCTGGGGGAGGACATGGCGGCCCCCCGGCCGGCGGCCCCTCCCGGGCGGAGTCTCAGGCGGCCTCCCTTGTCCTCCTGTCAGGACCCCTTCGGCGATGGGGGGGCTTCCGTAGAGGGGGGGCTCCCAGCCCCGCTCACTGCGCCTGCGCGGAGGCCGGCCGGCCTTCCTGCCTCCCCCTCAGTCACTCGAAGGCGGCCCCTCCCTCACTCCCTTCCTTCTTTCCTTCCTTCCTTCCTGAGCCGGCTCTTCCTGCCCCGCGGCTGCCCCCCTCCTCCGCCGCCTCTCTCCGCTTCCTGCGCCCTCCCGCTCCCAAATCGCTCCTGCTTCTTCGCTGGCTGCCTCTGCTCTGCCGAAGCCTGTCTCTCTCCCTCTGAACCCCTGACGTCACCCACAGTGACCTCACTGCCCAGGCCTCCTCTTATTGGTCCGCGGAGGGAACGACGCCGCGGCGTGGCCGCCCTGGGCCCGCCCACTAGGCGGCCTCCCGACCCGATGGCATGCCGGGAGTTGTAGTCCTCAGTCTCTGAGGAGAAATAGGGAAGGGGGAGAGGGAGGGAAACGGGGGGCAGGCCTTGGCTTTTAGGGGTAATAACCCTCCGTGGAAGCACCGTTAGGGCTCCCTTGGTAGTCTAAGCTCCGAGATTCTGATCTCTTGGCTATTTTGAGGCACTTATTTGGCTTTCATGAGTCCAGGGGTTCATATCTGAGCTCTCCAGAAGCAAGAGTGCTCTTGAGCATGTGTAGAGTACTTTCCACTTGCCCGCATGTGAAGTACAATAACATCCCAGATTCACAAAACAGGGGTATCTTTATTCGTCCAATCAAACAACACAAAATATGTGAAACAACACACATGATGTCTTTTGTATGATGTGTGATGATGCATCAGAGTCATAGTCCAATCAGTGTTAGCCTATAACTCAAAACCGGGTTTCGGATTCTGGCTGGGCCATTGTAAACCCGCTGAAGTGAGCTTAGGTGAGTCACACTCTCTCAGCCTCAGAGGATGGCAACAGCAAACCCTCCTCTGAAGAAACTTGCCAAGAAAATCCCTTGACAGATTTGCCATAGGGTCACCATAAGTAGGAAACTACTTGAAGGCACAAAACAACAACATGATGCCTCATACGGTTGGCCCTCCACATTTGCGGCTTTGATTATTCACAGATTTGATTAATATGTTCTCTCTATGGATTTCTAGGTCCTCCAGCTTGACTCTAGGGCCTGCATCGGCTCTAAATTGACTAAATTGGGGCTGTCGTACTTTGGCCACATGATGAGAATCACTGGAAAAGACAATAAAGCTGGGAAGGTAGAAGGCAGTAGAAAGATAGGAAGACCACGCGCCAAATGGATATAAACTCATTCAGGGAGGTCACAGGCCTGGGTTTGCAAGATCTGAGCAGAGCAATGGAGGACATGAGGATCTTGGATATGGCTCATCCACAGGGTTGCCATGAGTTGGACTGACTTGAGGGCAGTTAGCAACAATAACAATGATGCATAATGTATTTTGTGTCCTTTGTTTGGCCCCATAAAGGTATCACTTTTTTGTGGATTTTGGATGTTACCGTACTTTGCTATATGGCCGACACAGCTACCCCTGAACATGTTTCCTGACCACAATGTGGGGTGCCACAAATGTCTGGCTTGAATTGCTGCACCTATTTAAAGCAATAAGGACAACAACAGCCACAGACATTGCTACCACCAAAGCTTGTTTTTAATAGTTAGGTTCACTCACACACATACATACACACACACACACACACAGTTGTTGTGTGTCTTCTAATTATTGCCAACTTATGGCAACCCTAAGGCGATCCTATCATGGGTTTTCTTCGCAAGATTTATTCAAAGGAGGCTTGCCCTTGTCTTCCCCTGAGGCTGAGAGAGTGTGACATGCCCAAGATCTCCCAGTGCATTTCCATGGCTGAGCAGGGAATAAAACCCTGCTCTCCCAGTGTCCTAGTCCAATGCCCAAACCATTA